TCAAAGTTGATTTAAGGCACGCAGTTCCACAGCACCACAGAGATTACAAAAGCATTTCATGTAATAAAATAAAGACAGAGGGGTGCCTGGTTGTTTCCTCCAGTAGCTGATGAAGAAAGGAAGAGGAGAGAATTCAGTGCTTTGCATTCTGTGCAGTCAATCCTAACCTGCTGTTGGGAAACTAATGCTGCAGCGGAACTGGGGTCAGGGGAGCGCTGCCTGGAGCGCTAGTGACTCCCATTTGTCTCGGGTGGATTCATTCCTTTCCCTCCAAATGTCCCTTAACACACCATTTCCCTTTTTATTTGTATTCCTTTGCTGAAACCTGATGGTTGAGATGGGATTGCTCTGGTGACTGGATAGCACGGTTCTAGGTGACCATGAAACAATCACTTAGAATCTCCCCAGTCATCCTATTAACCTCCACATTTAATTTCCTAACTTTTTCAGTCTCTCTCCATCTTAAAATCTCAACATCTTTCAAGGCACCTACTAATTCTTGCTTTTTTCCTTTCATTCCCTCTTTTTCTGTCCTACCCTTTTCAAAATGGGAGCACAGCAGGAGAGCATAGGTGAAGATTTTTCAGTGACTTACTGAGTGCTGTAACACAGTTTTCAGTATTTTATATTTCTTTGTTCACGTACTAACACTTTATTTTTCTAAGCAGCTATTTTCAGCTACTTATAAGGATGCCAGTTTGTTTATGAGTTGGTCTAAATTTGTCAGACCTAACAAAATTTCAACTTGTCCTTTCCACTGTTTATGGCAGACTTTATGTACGAATGTGTCAAACTGTTCACTCTGTTGTTGTATGAGGATAAATCTCCAAACAGAATGAAATCAGCCATGACAGGAAATGAATTCCCCTAAAAGTGTTGAACGTTCAGGGTGTTTCTGGGGAAATCAAATTTCCTCATGAAGATTTTTAATAGGATATCACAGAAAATAGATTAAAAAGAGACAAAAGCTCTTTCACATCATCTGTCATTTTCCAAATTTACATTCAGGAAAAATGCTTGTGAGAGCTAACAATTGGTGTAGGTATTAAAATGCCTTATATACCTATAATAAGCCAAAGCACAGAGGAAATGGCATAGAAAAGGGTACTGCAATCTCTGATGACAGTCAACAAATTTTTAAATGCTTGCTTTTGTTTTGTTTTTAAATGTATTTCTGTCATTCCCTGGACAATAAAGGGCACTGCCATGTGCTAAGTATTTACTTACATAATTTACTGAACTGCTGCTAAAGTTCAGTGGTAAGTTTTCAGTGCTGTGCAAGACTAAGTCCCCATAAATAACAATTAAAAAAGGTTAAAGTTTTACATTTTAGCTTCATTAAAGCAGTAAATTTTAACCCTCTAAAGATGCAACTATTAAAGCAATTTACTTTGTTGTTAGGAGCTCAAAAGGAAAATAAACTCTTTTAAGACTAAGTGTTCATAGAAAAGCAGATGTGAAGCTTGCTGGAGCTAAGGAAAATAGTTTGATTGCCTTAAACAGCCTCTGATGAGTCCCAGAAAGAAAATTAGGAAAATAATGAGCAAAACTGGAAAGCAAACCTCTCTCTAATACCAAAAAAAAAAAAAAAAAAAAAAAAGGAAAACTTGGGCAAGGGTTTTGTGATATGATGCAAAAGATGAAACCCAAGATTACAAGCACCTTTTTTCTCATCTTCACTTCTGATTCCACTTTCCACCTCTTTCACCTTTTCAAGAACTCTGCTGCACACATCGAGCAGACTGTCCTGCCTTAAGTAGTGTCACCTTTCTAGCCAGGTGGTATAGTTTGCCCATCAAATGCATATTCACCAAAGGGTTTTGTGATATGATGCAAAAGATGAAACCCAAGATTACAAGCACCTTTTTTCTCATCTTCACTTCTGATTCCACTTTCCACCTCTTTCACCTTTTCAAGAACTCTGCTGCACACATCGAGCAGACTGTCCTGCCTTAAGTAGTGTCACCTTTCTAGCCAGGTGGTATAGTTTGCCCATCAAATGCATATTCACCAATATATGCATTTTCCACGTTCAGTCACTCATTTTAACACTAGAGCACGTTCAGGTGTCACTCTGTTCGAAGTGAACAGATGCAAGGTGTAAAATTTTACTATTTTATTAGATTTGCACAGGTGCAATTGCATTCATTGGCAGTTTTGCCGAGATAGATTAAGACAAGGAAGTACAATGGAAACAACATTTGGGGACAGAAGAATTTTATTTAAACAGCACTTTGGGGGCGTGTCGACATGGTCTCCAGCAGACAGTTACGTGCCAGCTATGCCAATGCTCCAGATGGGCAGCACACACTGATCTGAAAATCATAGGAATATTATAAAGCATATCCTGCAACTAGGCTAAAAAGTTGCTTAAAAAAAGCAAAATCTATAGCATGAACACCACTATGTGCAAATCTAAACAGCTTCCAGCTCACAGCTAGCTCTCTTCACTCCAGCTCAGAGCATGGAAAGAATTAGAGCCCAAATGTCTACATCTACCTGTCATAGACATGCGCTGTATCATAGAATCATAGAACGGTTTGGGTTGGAAGGGACACTTAAAGGTCATCTAGTCCAACCGCACCGCAATGAGCAGGGACAGCTTTAGCCAGAGCAGGGTACTCAGAGCCCCGTCCAACCTGGCCTGGGATGGTTCTGGGGATGGGGACTCCACCGCCTCTCTGGGCAACCTGCTCAAGTGCTTCACCACCCTCAGCGTAAAAAATTTCTTCCTTGTATGCTTAGATCCTGTGAAAATCAGCATACTTAAATGTTAAGCAAGCCAAGACTTTTTAAGTAATATATTTATTTGACCAACTGTGTATTTGGAAAACATAGACAAGCTTTTGGGAACACAAGCTGTTGTTCGGCTCTTTTTTGAATTTTAAGCATATGCCTAGAATATGAATGTCACCAGGGATACTCAGGTTGGTAAAAATTAGCTACATAAAAAGAAGTTCTAATTTTGACCTGAATGGTTATGGTTATGACCTAAATGGTTACCTACATATATAACTATGTGTTAGAACAGTCTTTAGAAAGCAACAAGAAACCTCAGTCAGGTTTGGGCATCTTTTGTGAAAGGAGATGGGAAAAAACAGTAAAAGGGTATCTCCTCTGCAAGGAAAAAAAAAAAAAAAATCAGGCTAGGTTCCTTACCTAGCAAATATTTTCACATGCTTCCCATTATTCACAGGCAATTACCACAGGCAAAGGCTGAGTTTGCAAGATCAGAGTATGTAAAAAATGAAAAGATACATGTCAAGACACCTCGATTCTTTACTAAATTGCAATAGCTGAAAAATCAAGCTCACAATTTTACCATCACAACAAATTTTCATGGCAGGACTTGTTCCTTTTGTTTATTGCAATTTTTATTTTCTTCTAAAGAAGATGTACTTTCTCCTCTAGTAAGTGATTTACGATCAAATTAAGGGCTCCTCTCATCTCCTATTACAAAATTTTAATCAACTCATTCAAAGGTTACATCTGTCCATAGTTATAACTATACTTGGGTCTCAGCTTTCATATCAGCTTTGAAGTACACCAGCTGCACGTCATTTGAAATGCTGACACAGGAGCATTCAGTTCCCCACAGGTTAATCCCCCCTGTTATAAACTCCAAGGGCAGATATATCTATTTCAGTTGCAGCTCATGCAGATGGCTAAATCACGAAGGATCCAGCACGTGCACCCCTCCATCCTAATGGAGTCCTATTAGATCTGGGTCCATAGTCTCATGGCACGACCAGCCATAACTAGATCTGGGTGCATAGTCTCATGGCACAGATACAACCAGCCACCAAAGCAGCGCTGATGTACCCAGCACTGATTTGTTACATGAGCATGGCCTGTAGAACAGACTATTTTCGAAAAGAGCCCAAGCACTTGGAATTAGAGGCATAATATCCGACATCTCACAAGGAAGAGTGGGTCAGTGGAGGCCATAAAAGCAAGCGTAATACAGACTCAGTTTAGCAGCAGTGATTACATTGAAGCTCTTCCAGTGCAGAAGCTCTTCATCTTTTAAGTCTCTGGAAATTAATTCATTACAACCAGATTAATTACTCAAAACTTTTGGTTTCGCTCCCTCTTTTTAGTGCTAGTAGAGCTTTTCACAGACAAAAAGCTACCCATAAATCTGGAGGCTGGCAGTGCCTCTGGGGGAAGGTTCCCACAACTCTGACACAGCATAAAACTAACCCACATGGAAATAAAAGCCAACTTCAGACTTCGACAGCGCTAAGAGCCTACGAGAAAAGCAGCCCAGGATGGCGCTACGCTCTGCGTGCCCTGTAGAGCTGCACTGCGTCACGCAGAGGCTGGCCAGGGCCAGTGGCTTTCTTCCAAGGCGTACGGCCCCATTCTGCAAAGCTCGGGTTTCTCCATAAGTATGCTCAAATCCCATGGACTTTGTTATGTCTTAGAAGTTATTAAGTACATACTAAACCCTAAGGCCCATAAATGCTTTACAGCACTGGGCCTTCTATAACTTGCGTGAGTTGCACCTATGATTCACTGTGGGATCAGAGCAGCCACACACCAGGGTATAATAAAACCAGGTATTTCTTCATGACTTGTTTTTAAATGGAGAAAACTAATAGGAAACATAATTTGTGGGTTTTTTAATTATCATTATTTTTCTAGGTTTTCTAGCACAAAATTCTAAAGATTATCTGGGAAAATTGAGCTGGTCAAAAGTGGCAGCAGTTGTTCTTCTCCCCTTAGTCATATAATTAACAACACTGTAAAACTCAGTGGGGAGAACTCACTCACAGCTGTTGGGAAAATAAACCTTCTGAGAAAAGAATCGGGGAAAAAAGAAAAAAAGACCATCTAGGAAAGTTGTATTTGAGATAGCATTTTTCCACTCAGACAACTGTAATCTTAGGCATTCCAGTATCAGAGGCAAAGTGCTGGAAACAAAAGAATTGTCAAAGTTATGGTGTTAAAGCTGCACAACCTGACAGAAAACCATTGCTGAGATTCGTATCCTTGTGTCTCTTCTACACGCAGGTTTTGACCAACTTTGTTTTTCATGACAATGCCATTTTTCCTCCCCAGGATGGAAAGAAAGAACTTCTTCCTAAGCCTATTGCTCTGCTACGGTTTGCTCAGAGCTGCCGCTTCTTACATGGCAATTGAAGAGAAGACAGAATGCAACCTGTCAAGGAGCAACAAAATGAATCTCCAAGATCTCCCACCCATCTCCATAGTAGGTTAGTAAAGTCTGCCATTCGGTGCCAAGTTAATCAACAACTGTATTTTCTTGTTAATATGGATTATTCTGATAGGTTACTGCAATGCTGCAATTTCATACAAATACCTTAGTAGTGTGCAGAACTGCCTTGGCGATACAGCCACAGTCGATATTGAAGAGAAGTGTTTTTCCATTAATATGGGCATTAATCTCCCTTGGAAAGTCTAGTGCAAATAGAAAAAATGAACATAACTTTTTTGCTCAGGATCTGCTCTTGTGGCAGAGAAATCAACAGTTCTCGAAGGTATTGATATAACCTCAGTTGACCTCTGTGCCAAGCGATCTTTAGCCAGGGGAAGAAAAGAGCACTGCTAGGGAGAGCCAGAGGTCAGCTGTTTATCCAAGACAGGACCGGCTACGTCCCTACCGTTACGGGCAGGTGACCGTCTGCCCTCTTAGGGAATAACCTTGTTAGGGCAATGCTTAACTCTTTTCTTCACAAAATTTTTTCCTAGCGTCTGCCATAAATCTTTCAATGTAATTTAAGCCAACTTTTTTCTTTCGAGACACTTACAGGTATTTGGGGATAATTAGCTGCAGAACGTCATTCATAACTGTGTCAAAATGTTAATAATTTAAAAAAAAAAAAGTTTCTCTTGTCTAGCTCCTTTCTACAGGCTTTTAGGACTTTTGCTTAAAGCAGGTCGGTTTCTTACCTTGTTCCCTGTGTTTTCTCTGCACTCTCGCTCAGGACAATGTTTCTTTAAGGAGAAACAGTTGCTCCACACATGCATTTCCAAAGAAATCTGAACCTCTGAATCCTGAGTTAACTCAAGGTTGTTTAACTGCAAGTTTATTAAAACTTGTGCTGTTCTGCAGCCTCCCAAGCTGTATTTCATGGTCCTTGTGATCCTAGATGCCTTCAGTCTCACACTTCCAGTCATTTTTTTTATTCCAATTAAAATCAGAGATATAAACCACATACCCTTCAGCTGATTTCTCAATCTTCTCGCAAAAAATGCGCCCAAGCCTTAAACATGGCAGATAGGCTTTGTCATGCCATATCGCTTTGCCAACAGACATCCAAGACAACAAAAATCCCCCAACGCTGTCAGGTCATTTTGCTTCGGATGGTTCTGCAACGCCTCACAAAACCCCTTCCTCCCTCACTGCCCTGTTCGGTTGTCTGCAAGAGACACCTCATCCCGCAGGAGTAGAGCATCCACGCATCCTCACCGCGCCGCGGTGAAGCCCGGCGGCGCTGCTTTCCCATTCTATAGTCAACAGAGAGATGAAGCAATTAGCCAAGGCAAGAAAAGAAATCCACAGCAGGCTAAGGGGCTGAATCTAAGCAAAGAGCGTAACTTCCAGCTCACCTTTACGCTCGCTCTTCTCCTACACGCATACAAACAGAATGAACGTTTGACGCTGAAAATGCGAGAATAATTCGAAAGAGCAGATCTTGGCGTAGCACTCACCTCTTCCGCAGCCCACTTGTCTTGGCTGACTATTCCAGAAAGGAAAATACAGATGCAAAACCCACTGTAACACCGTTGGCCAGGGCTGCACTCACTTTCTTGGGGCACGAGGCGTTTCCAGAGGTATCCCAAGGCCTTTCTGCAGCCCGCTTGTTCAAGGGTGAGAGGCCAGTCTGATCCTCCGCTATGCCACACCTAAAGAAAACTGAAAAAATACAGCGTGAGTGGTAAAACTGATACAAAGCATTCCTCTTTTTCTGATTCAATAGAATCTGACCTAAGCTTTGAAGTAGCTTATTTTGGAGCTGAAATAGCACACGCTCAAACCTTTCTAGGTTTTATTTCAGACAACCAATAACCACATTACTTCTATCACTTATTAACTAAAATAATTGAATTATAACTTGATAAACTAAATATAAATTAATCAAAAGCATGCATTAATGCATGGCGTGTGAAAAGCATTTGAAAGTCCCTAGCCACGACCTTTCAAAAGAGTGGAGGAAGAAGGTGCAGGAGAAAGGACACGCACCGACGTTGTTTTGGAGTTCAGCTTACCAGGCCAAGGCGCCTTCCAGGCCTGCTGATACCTCCCACCGCGAGCAGGAGGATGACAGCCGATCCGAGACGGCCTTGGAGACAGTCCTGCGGAGGATGGAAACAGGCTGAAATGGGAGAAACTAATGCAAACAGGGGAACGCAGCTGGGAAAAGCAGGCAGGCAGAAGCAGGACGGGCAGGCGCAGGGTGGCTCCTCCAGCTCTGCCACAGATCCCCCTGCCTGCAGCCCCAGCAAAACCCCTGCAACACGGGGGGGAGGATGAAGCCGCACATGAAGCATTCAAAAACGGGCAGAGGTGGCACGTGGGGACATGGTTTAGTCTAGTCTACCCTTGATTGGTTTAGTGTGGACTTGGTAATGTTAGGTTAACGGTTGGACTGGATGATCTTAAAGGTCTTCTCCAACCTAAATGATTCTATGATTCTATTCTATGATTCTATGATAATATTTATTATAACAACGTCATGGTTAAAGGCTGACAGACTGGTCTTTCCCATCACCGCCACAGGAACAAATAATTTAGAGCAAATATTGAGAGTGTTTAAATAACCACAGCCTCCTCTTCCCTCCTGATACTGTCAATTTCTTTACAATTTATCAGTTGTAATTTGTCACGCTGATGTACATAACCTCTTTTTGTATAAGCTAAAAGAAAAATTTCTCGTCAGCTTGATTTAAAAATTTTGGATAGAGCTTCCTATCTCAGCGACATTTTCTTATACTAAGCCCTGTTCTGTCTGGTTGGCTACACAGAACAGAGATGACGGCACTGGTGTTACAGCTCGGTTTTTGAAAGCTGCTGTAACCATACTTGAGTAACAAAACTCATTTGCAATCAGCTGTCGATCAATCACAGTGCTCATGGTATCAAAAGATGGTATGTCTGGCTTAAATTCATTAAAACCCCAGGCTGGAGTCGAATCAAAGGTAAGCGAGGATTTGCTAGCATCAGCTAGTAAAACATGCAAACATCTGATTAATACATGCTTTTTATAGCGCTTTGAATTGCAGCTGTATCAACACAGGGTAGAGGTGTGTGTTACCAGTGCCTCCACAAGCCTGCATCGCAGCTTCCCGTATCGTCACAGATGAGATTTGTAAGGAGCTGGTCAGTCGGGCAGCTCTTGAAGACGGCAGGTAGAGCATGAGCAATATGAGATCAGAGGCCAGCTGGGAGAAGCAGGCGTTTTACCCAGCCCGGAGGAACTATAGAAAAGGCAATTACAGGACTCGCCCATCAAAAAAAAGCACCTCTACATTTCCCTCTCATCTGCCCACTGGGCATCGTTTTCTTCTTTACCAAATTCCCTGGAATAATTAAAGCGCATTTACATCATGCCAATGTTTAAATGTCTGTTTAATGGCATCGCGTACCCTTTAACTGAATGTTATCCAACCCATTTGATAGGCAAAGCAATCCAGACAATCCTGTACAATTGCACTATAGAACATTCAATTAATGTAGAACGAAATGGCTTACAAGCATCTTGGTTACTGTCCGAAGGTTTCAAAGGGCAGCATAACAAAGCCAGCGTAATCTGCCAGCTGGAACAGGATCGAAACCGCTAATCCTAGTTAGTGCAACGCCTTTCTTAAGATGTGCTCTTATTAAGTGGCAATAACTTTACATACTTATAGTTTTTCCTCTCACTGTTTCTTAGAGATGTATAACCCTAACCATAATGATGTAAGGATAATAAATGAAACCTCCCAGAACAGCCCAAAATGTGCATTCTTCATTCTGTAATTCTATAAATCCTGGCAATTATTAAATATTCAATAATAATATGGAGAGACAAGGAGCCACCGTTCATCGGTGGGTGTATGTAAATTTTTTTATCCCAGTCATTCATTACTTACAGGTAGTGCTTATTACAAACCACACACACACGGAATAAAGCTTTCAAAAATACCTGATCAGGTTAGCGAGCTGGGAAGTGTCTCACGCTTTAAGTTTTCCTGTGTTAGATCCTAAGGCAAGTCTTAGTCTTGGAGTTTATATACAGTAATAAATAGCATTAGAGCTGATATGGTAATCACAACAGCTGCAGTAAATGCTATTAACCCTCAAGGGATAATATGAGGAAGTTCAGAAAAAAAAAAAAAGTTACATCAGGCATAGTCTGAACACTCCCCCCACACACACATTTACCAGATCCAAGATTCAACTCCACAAATATTCACAAACCTTTCAAAGCTACAGGCCCGTTAAAGAAACACCTTTGCAAGTAACGTTTTGTGAAACAAGACAGTAGGTGAAAAAGGAGCAAAGAACTGAAGAATGAACATACAGATGAAGAGTTTATGCCCAATCAGCAAAGAGTTTTTCTCTCATGAAAACCAGCGTACACTTGTTGATTCCTGCCAAAATTATGCAGGTAACACCACCTTTTAGCAGAAAAAAAAATAACGGAATTCTAAAAGTTTTTTCCTATTTTTGTTCATGTGACTAACAAGTAACCCCATCTTTCACACAGAGACCTTTAATTTTATTTCTCTGGAACTATTTTCCTTGTTCCCATCTGACCAAAGAATGTGTAAAAAAGGCCTCCTGAAATACAAACAGCAGTGCTCTTCTGCCGCGCACGAGCAACAGCAACGGCACGAGTTCAGACACGCTATGTGTAAGATGAACGTCTTCACTGCAAAACATGCAGGGACGAGGTGGCAATGCAGGTTATCTGCCTTCTCTCGCACAAAAATAGTATTAAGCATCTCAATTAAATTGCATGTGCCATAAAACTGATTTAATATTATGTTGTGCTATTCTCTTTGAAGATTTAACTAAAAGATCCCAGAAAGTCAGCAGAAGGCGGAGAACAAGAAATCTTCCAAGGTAGGTGGCTGTTCAGAAAACGTTGTTGAATTAGAACGGTTTATTACTTCTATAGTTTTCCTCAGTGCATTCGTTTGCAAGGCTTTTACTGCTATTCCCTGCCACAAATAATTTACATACAGTTTGAAGCTCTAAATACTGTAAAAACAGATGCAATACATTAATGGTGGAAAGAAAACTATGTGATCTCAGATTAGTTAGAGGTTATTGTTTGGGTTTGGGCGGGTCTTCTTTTGATTTTGCTTTGGTTTTTTACAGTCCTCTCTTATACAAAAGGTACTTTAACCTTGAGCTGTTTAAGTATTTGTAAAATTATTTAGGCATCCACCATAAAGAGGGATCATTCCCAGTCACACCACGTGGGTTAACTGTACAGGCTCTGCAGCCAGGCTCACTGTATGCTGATTTTTAACTGCAGGTGCCAGAAAATTAGAGCAGAAGCATACAAAGAAGTTGGTATTGGGCTAAAAATATTAACTAGTAATTTTATCAGATCAGTAGATTCAGATTGATAGATTTCCTTAATGGGATGTTACCTGTAGGTCTCAAATACGAAGTCTTAGATGGGCTGGACTCCTGTATTTTAAAGATTGTCTAGAAGAGTAAAAAAATAGCATTTTTACTTTCTTTTTAATATGTCATGATGGCCATTTATAGCCAAATCAGTCATTGCTGCAACCAGAAACATTTAGAGCTCCTTCTTTTCCTAATTGATGTCTTGTGTGGTTAACCTTCCTTGAAATGCTTCCTAAATTTGCAGGATCACCCAGGTTGAAAGGGGCCTCAGGACAACGTTCAGTTCCACCTTCAGCTCAAAGCAGGACATTCTTGCCATCAAACTTTGTCAGAGCATTTTGCCTTAAAAGCTCCTAAGGCACTTGGAAACCACAGGACCCTTTACCTTAAAATTGACACTCCTAAGAAACTACCAAGTTAAAAAAGTGCATAGGGTGCCTGTAGCTGGAGGGCTCCCGGGATCTCTCCCAGGTCCCAGGCACATGCTGGTCCACCCAAAGTTTTCCACCTTCCCAAATCACAGAGAGAAGCAGCACTCCCTGGGTAGCCGAGAGCGCTCTTTCAGCTCACTCACCCGTGCCTGCAGTTAAGGATTCCCACGCACAAGTCTGATGCACAAAGCATTGCCGAGCTCCACGGGCAGCTCGACGAACCAACCATGCGAGGTAGAGCACTGCCAAGTCACCTCCCCTCTCCCTCAGCCTCGCAGCTCAAGAGACAAAGTCGGTGCCAGCCCCGCAGATTGACGGGGAGGTTTCACTCTTTCGTTTGAAAATTGTGGGGAACCAAGAGTAATTCCTTGCTTTACTGATAACGTCATTGTCTTTGCAGATTCTTGTGTCCCTTTCTTCACTGCTGCCACCACATTCTTCCCTACAGAGCGTTTTCCAACGCTCTATCCAGTCATGTTTCTCATTGCTCAAAATGTGGGGCTCACGGGGTTTACCATTTTGCTCGGTAGGTTGGTCTCGAGCCAGCATTTCCCGTGATCCAGTCCTGCCACATCTCTATATTGCTACTAATAAGGTCTCACTGCTAGCAACCGCCTACTCATCTCAAGCCAGAAGCCCCCACGGTTCACTGTCTTTGCACCTATGCTTTATTATGACCCCTATTCATTTTACATTGGTATCAATTTTCATGGGTTTTTTTCTAGAAAAATGCTGGCCTGAAGACATCTCCGAAACCAAGGCCCCCACCAGCTGCTGACTGTGTGCTAAACTTCAGAACCTGCAAGCCACACTTGAATTCGTGTTGTAACTACTGTGCTTTATGCAAATGCCGAATTTTTCAGACCATCTGCCAATGTCTAATGTTAAACCCAAAGTGCTAACCCAAACTGGGAACACAGTAAGGCTTGTGTCTTTCATTAGCTTCCCAAGTGTATTTTTCAAATTGCCCCATATGTTTAGCAACCAAAGTAGAGAGCTTTGAAGCTGGCAGCTTGGATTTGCCCCTCTTAAAATTAAATGGACAACATTGGATTTTTTTTCCATGGGGTTAATGCTATCATAACCAGGATGGTTTTTTAGGAGGCAGACAAACAGGGACATAGAACAGGTATTTTTAGCAAAACTGACCTGCATTTTAAGAAGAATTCTAGATTCTTGTTTGTTTGGGGTTTTCTTGTTTGTTTGGGATTGGTTGGGTTTTTTGGGTTTTTTTTTAAGGGTCATATTAACCACAGACTGCAGTATTGCCTAAGCAGCACTGCAAAACCTGCACCAATGGCACACAAATGGCCACACTAAAACAGGGGTGGTTAATCCAGCGAGGGACCAAAGGTTGGGTTTGCCCACAATGACAGCACAGCATCAGCTTCCAGCACAGCCAAAATATCGTGCTAAGATTGCAGGTTTCAGGGTTAACTCCCTTTTCACACATTCAGCAAAAATCAGGATGAGAATTTATATAGGTTATTCTACCTGAAAAGACAGACCCAAAACCATAGGGCAATTTTTTAACCAGCCCGGCTGAGCATCAGTACATACACCTCCAGGGTTTTCAGTCATTCTGCCAGTAACCAGTACCTCCAAGGTGTATAACATACGTGTGTATTTGAACCCTGAAGGTATCTGTGCCTCATGACTTAAAAATCAGAATTTTTTCCCCAGTTGTATCCAAAGGACTGGAGTCCCCAGCCCTTCTTCTCCTGCTGCCAAGGACACAGTGCACATAGAGCCCAAAAGCAGGAACACATATCCAGGACTTCGAGGAAGAAAGGAAAGCTCAGCAAAACATGAACGTGTATCCCACGTGTACATCTTGAAGAAAACCATTACGAGGAATCAGTGTCTCTTTCTTTGCCCATTCTTACCATGGACAACTCCCAGCACCTACCCCAAGTGTGAATTTAGGTGGCAATCTCCACGCGCTGCATGCAACCAGTGACCACAGGAAAAAAAATTACTGAGTGCTTCATCAGTCTTTAAAGGCTCAGAAACAGCTCTGAATGGATGGATGAAGCTCAAGGCAGCAGCAAACAGGTGTCTAGAAGACATCTTTCTTTTATTCTTGAAGTTCTTTGCCTTAATCTTGAGTTATCTAAGACCGCACAGGAGGAAACCCCTTCTTGGTTAAAATACCAGGAGAGATGTTGTGGGTACGGGAGAGCAAGGAGGGTGCAGACCCAGAAGCTGTCCCCAACATCGAAGACTCTTCATCTGCCAGACTCCAGCTTTTGCTTTTTACCTCCTCTGTTCTGCATCTACAATGTTCCTCTCCCCCATTCCTGTACACTCTT